CTGTGCCTCACAACAGAAGTTATAAGCACCTGTTTTGCAGTGTTACTGGAATGTGCTTGTTGAGAGTAAATGATAAATGTGACAGTACTATGAATTTCGTATCTGAAATGCTTTTCCTGGTTTAGGCAAGCTTTTAAATGTTTACCCTAAGTTCATGTCACTGAACTCTGCACCTCTGAAGCTTGTTTCTTGCTGCGATTCCAGCAGTCTGGACTTGAGGAATTACAGTCTCTGGGGTGTTGGGGGGTGCTGGGGGATGGATTTGCACCTGCCTTGTGGAAGGGGTGGGAGTGTTTCAGTTTACTGTAAATGATGTTGAATCAGGTCTCTGATCCCCATGAGGATAAAACTTGACTAAATTCTGATACAGTATTTCACTGGAACTGTTGGTAGGCCAAAGCTTTCTGCTGGAGCATATCTAATAGCAAATTTTCCTTTGCAGGCTTCCAAAGTGTTTCTCATTGCAAAGTAAGTACTTGTTTTAAATTTGCATAAGAAAAGTACGCCTGCAAGTGAAGTGTTTAGCAGCATGGGAGCTGGGGGAGAGGTACAAGGGGCTAGTGTTTGCTGCTGCTGGCCTCTTGGCCAAAACAGGAGGATGCTAGAGGGGAGAACTGCTGGATAAGGCCCAGCCTCCACAGGCTGTTTTGTGCTAAACTCTGTGGTGTGCCTGTGAGCTCGTGAAGTCACTCTGATGACACACTTTTGTGTATTTATCCTTTTCCCCGATGGCATCCTTAGTCTAAAGCAGATAGCTGTGCAGTGACTGACAACATGAGCTGCCTGTGTGATGAGATGTGACTTCCTTGACTTCAACCATGGAGGTCTGCAATTAGCTCTATCTGACTTGAGGCACCTGACTAGATTTGCCCCTTGTTGTGCTTGCTTGTGCCCTCTCCTCACGCTTTGCTTTGTTCCAGGGCTGGGTCAGTGGAGCTGCGCAGTGCTGAATAGTGCTACCAGCAAAAGTAAGTTGATGTGTGTGATGGGAGATGGGGAAGTTATTAGCTGCTGGCCTCTAATTTGCAGTATAGCTGCAGCATTGAGCAAAAGGTTCCTGGAGGATTTTCGTGCCTCTGCCAGTAAATAGGAGGTTACCAGCAGCCTGTGGGGTTCTGTTATCGAAGGTGGTAGGGATTGAATCTTAGGCTTCATAACTAAAGACAGTGGTAAGATACGATGGCAGACAGAAGGGTTTCTGGAACTCTTCATGAGGCTTTGGAGTAGCATTTGTGTTGGACTGATACGTTCTTTTTGTGTGTGTGTATTTGAGACTTGAGAACAGAAGATATTTCATGACAGCTGCTTCTTTGTTACTTGGTAAACTGCTTGCTTTTCAGTTGTCACAGGACTGTATTTTAATTTTTTTTGTTACTACTACTTTCTGTGACTGAAAGTAAATGGTATGGAGCGATTGTAGTATGGAACTGCTATGGAGTAGGTGATAAGAAAGAACATGTGGTAACTTGGCAGTGAACTTGCGTTGACCAAAGCCAGTATAGTTATTTGCTAGTTTAACTTTTTGCTGTTAGATGTAGTGGGTTTTTGCAAGGAATAGCTCTGATCTTCAGTAGTTGAAGTGATGTGCCAAATTATCTCAGCTGCTTCATTAGCTCACTTGTGTGATAGGAGTGAAGATGTGGTTGGGGATAAGGTCTGAAATGCTGAGGTCAGGCCTTTCTGTAAGGAGAAACAAAAGTAACAAAACACAAAGCTTCTGTAAGCCTGTACTGTTTGTGATGATTAATTCAAAGCAATGGGAATCTCTCTGAAAGAGGCTGAGGAGGACTCTTGCACTGAAACAGTACTCACATTCAAGCTAACTCTTGAAGCGCTGCTGAGGAGGGTGTGTTAATAAAATTGCACTTGTTCCAGAGTGAAGTTTGGGCGCTTCTGTGAGTGGCAAGACTGACTTGTGTCTGAGGTAAGTGTAGAGCACACTGGAAATACTGCCTTTGTGATAAATGCCCAGGTAGTGGTACTGAAAATTAGTCTTATAGTAGATCTGATTTGTCTTCCCTTTATTGTATGATTCTCCCACTCTGAGCTGCTGTAGGAATAAGCAGGAATCACTTGAATCAGAATGCACTTGTGTAGTTCTAAATTTGACTTGGAAAGGATGGGCTCTCCCTGAGCAGATACCCTGACAATTCCTGGATTGTGGTCAGTGTTAAACTAACTGGAGAGTTCTGCTTGTATGAACAGGTGTGGCCTAAATGACTCTAAGAACTGGGGGCTTATTGCTGGATGTCTTTACACAGTGGACAGTGTTGATAATGGGGTACAGTGGAAAGCACAGCAGCCAGCATAGCTCCTGTCCTGTCGGATGTGTCCGACTAGTCTGTGAGGTGACACTCCAGAACTAAAAAATGAAATGCCAACACTATGTGCTGTCTCGTCACTCAGTAACTTTTCCTGTTCTTAATGTTGGCTGTATGGAAATCTAGGATAAAGTTGCAGATGTACAAACTGGACCCTCTGACAGATTGTTGCTTTGAAGGATAGGTTTTCAAGATGATTTCTGTGGCACTTGTGTGTAGGTATCAAACTTCACTGAATGCAGATTTCTGTTGGGGAGAGACAGTGTCACAGAGCAAGTAGTTGCTTTGTGCTTTTCCTGATGCTTCAGTGTTAATTATTCTATATTTCTGATTCAATTTGGATCTGTAAGTGTTGTATCTCAGATTAAGGTGTTGCAGGTTAAAGTTGCTGGCTGAAATGTAGCCTTGTAGGTGGAATTAGCGAATTTTAAATGTAGTAATTATTTTTTATTGTCACCTATGAATTATTAAGAATTTCATAAGTAATAATTAGGCTTGCATGTAGTGATGTCTGTTATTCTGAAGCAACTTCTCTCTTTCTCAGGGAAGGACTGTGCTGTCTGCAGCCTCACTGGGTAAGACCACACAGCAAATGCATTATGTTGAAAACTTTGGGGAATATTTGTAGCCACTGATGAAATTTGATTCTGCCGAATGAATTACTGTGATATCACACTTTCCGTTCCACTTAGTTCTGAGGTTACAAAGCTGCCATGGAGGTTTTGGCAGTTGTGCTATTGCATGTGTTAATTGTGTTTTCTTGCTTTAGATGAGGAGGCAACTTTGGAGTTACTTTGGAGTTCATAAGAGAACTGAGAAGGTGAGTGTGACTGTAGTAATGAAATTCATTTACTGGAACAGATGATGATAAAACCTTAGCTTGAACTCTCTCTCTGAACAGAGATGAAAATCTAAGGTCTGAGTTGTTCCTGCAAAGCTTCTTATACTGGCTTGGTGCCTTACAATGGTTCTTATGTCTGTCTTAATAGGTGGAAGATCGCAGAATAATGGGATACGCTTGCATGAACAGCATTGAAAAAGCACTTTTTAATCACACTGGTAATGATTGGAACCAATAAAAATTTGTAAACTCCTACTTTTTGTGAACTGCTTTTTGACTTGAACAGCTTCCTGCAAAACAGGCTACTATATAAAAGCTTCAAATGCTTATTTTAGAGCAGGGATTGAACGGGTTAAAATGCTAGTCCTGCAAGTGTCCTTCAACTTAGGTGTCAGCTATTGCTAGTTTGCAGACTGCAGTTGACCTGACCAGTACCAAGACTTGGGCAAACTTAAGTAATTGAAGTAGTAATTAGTGTTTTGTAGGTGAGAGAGAAACACAACTCCTTGTCTCTTTGCTCCTAAAATCACAGGCTATCAGTGTGGTATTACATGTTCAGATGCAGAACATGTGCATAGAAGCAACATGGAGACTGGACACTCAGCCCTTTTTTCACTGGACTCTTGTCTAATCTGGTCACTGGCATTAGGCTGGAGCAAGATGGCATCCAGCCTCTGTGAGGAAGACAAGAGTTGAGCTGAGACGTGGAGGATTTAATAGAATCAGAGAATGGCTTATGCTGGAAGGGACCTTAGAGATCATCTAATCCAACCTCCCTGCCCGGAGCCTGGAAG